TAAATCAAGGCTTTTTTGGCAATAACAGAGAAACACATAAACAAAGCTCCAGTGGTTTGCTTATGTTAGTAAAACCCACAGACAAAAATACTGCCTTAAATTATCTCCTTTGTGGGTGCAGTATATTATAGTTTATAAAGGAAATAAAAGGACTGTTGTGTCTGACTTCCATTTCCCTCTCTCCCTTCCTCTGCTAAACTGTACATGGAATGCTTGCACTATGCAACGCAACTTTGCAAGCTAAAGGAGCAGCGAAAAAAAATCTCAATTCCACTGAGGTCAGAAAGAGAGTTTACTTTGGAATTTAACACAAGGAACGGTTTTCGTGCGGCAAAATTCTTCTTAAAATCATCTGTAGTCCTCCTCTACTGAAGGTCCACGTGCAAGTAATCCTCGAGGTGTGACTGCAATTGAACCCTGCAATTACAGTTCTAAGCTGTGATGGTTGTAAAGTGGGTCACCACCTGACTGAATCCGATTTTATGACCTATTTTGCAGCAGTCATTAAGTGAACCAACTGTTGCTATGGGCTGCTTCCCCCCCCTCTGGAAACTGGAAATAAATGTCGGTTACTGGCAAAAATGTCATAAATTGTGCTCATGTGACCATGGGGCGCTTCAAATGGCCGTAAATGTGGATCGGTTGCTGAGGACCCAAAATGTGATCACGTGACTGTGCCCACCCCCCGGATGTTGGAAATTTGAAACCGGATCCTAAGTATTTCCAGGAGTGGGGGAAATCCATGGTAACACAAAACAGTTGTTAAGTAACCGGTTGTAAGTCAAGGACTACCTGCATAAGCAAAATTGTACAATGTACCCCACCATCAGCCCAAGGCACCATAGCTTGAAAAAAATTAGGTGGAAACAGAACGTTTGAAATCCATATAGGCATTTGCCTACAACACGTGCAAAGCTAACTAGAGAGTTTCCACAATAACTGCATGGGCCAGTTGTCTGGCAGCTTTACATATATGAGGCGCCATCATGGTTAAGCTTTAGACTAGGGGTGGGGAGATTCAGGCTGTTGTTTGAAAATGTGCCCACCTGCCTAGAAGAAAAGCCAAAGGTAAGCTGAGACTGACCATGAATATCTTGGGGGGAAAAGGAAGGATGACAGATAGCAATTTCACCAATTTGCTTTCTGCTAAATTGGAATTTGGTGAAGCTGAAGCAACCCTGCCAGCCATTTTTCTGACTACTATTTTGCGCTTTATTATTATGCATCGTGGTATTCTATTGTTTTAATCTTATAGTCAACTGTATCTTCATTATGGGCCCTAATGAGATGCATTCGCAAGAGCCCTAAAGTTGGAAACCTTGATAAAACTGGCTCCTGAATGCTGTAAAGATTTCCAAACACATGAGCCATATTTGTTTACTACTCCTTTTTGTATCTTTTGTGCTAAACGTGGGGGGATTGGTACACAGAAAAATACCGGAGTGAAGTTTGAACGTGCCCCTATAACCCTTCCCCATTTGGATCTTCTTGAATTACATAAACTTTAGGAGAGGAAATAGAAGAAATGTTTCCATGCAATCGAGAGGTTTTTAAAAAACCCCAGTGTTACAATGTTAATAAGAAACAAACAGATATGGGATGGAAGACACTCTGATCCAGGGGTAGTCAACCTTGGCTCTTTTATGACTCGTGGACTTCAACTCCCAGAATTCCTGAGCCAGCTAAGCTGGCTCAGGAATTCTGGGAATTGAAGTCCACGAGTCATAAAAGAGCCAAGGTTGACTACCCCTGCTCTGATCGATGTTAAATTCACATTTTTTTGACAATGCCCCAATGGCCTGTGTTGCCCAACGTGTTGTTACTCAAAGACACTCCCTGTGTACTCACTCATTGGTAAGAAGTGGAATATCATTCTTTCCTTCTTTATTTGTCATTATATCCCTTTTGATACCATTCATCCTTCCAGAGTTGTCTTTGGCCAGAAGATCAAAAACTTCATTATTATACACTTCTACAACAGAAACCTCAACCAAATGGCTTCCTGGTGACTTTTCTGAAAGAAGCCTGAAAGAAGAAAAAGGGCTTAAAAGACTGGAATTAAAAAAAAACAAAAAACAAAAAACAACCTAAGTAAACTATTCTTGTGATCCAGCACATTATTACTGCTTGAACGGATACCCAAAGTCCATAATCTTTGGATATTCGTTGCTTTTCTGAGATAGCTGAGCTGTTCTAAAATCTGATTCAAACTATTTATGCACTGCTTATTCTGTAACATGCTGTAGAGCTCTGCAAATTTAATGGAATGTGTGGATGATCTTGGGGAGGAAGAGGAAGAGATGGAAACATTCAGGTCAGAGAGACAGGAGCTCGCAGTGGCTTAGCAGTCAGAGAAACTTAGGAAAGAGTCTAATGCAGGGGTCTTCAAACTTGGCCCTTTTATGACTTGTGGACTTCAACTCCCAGAATTCCTCAGCCAGCGTGCCTGGCTGAGGAATTCTGGGAGTTGAAGTCCACAAGTCATAAAAGGGCCAAGTTTGAAGACCCCTGCTCTAATGGATCAAGCAGTTAAAAATGGGGGGTGGGAGGTCTGTGCCTTCAGATTTGCAATATTGATATCAACCCTCCCAGACATGACTAGATAAACTAATTTTATTTTATTGTCAGGTTACATTAACAAAATTTTGCAAGAATCTTGTAATTATTATTATTATATTTATTAATAAATACATTACCAATTTTCTACATTAAGTTGTTGGAAGTAACAGGGTACAGGATAGACAAAGGAAGACAAAGAAAGCTCATAGGTATTTTACATAGAAGTTCCGTTTTCGGGCCAAATAGACGCAACAAAATTCAAAGTCTAGTGTACAATTATCATTTCATGTATATATCAGGCTGAATCAAAACAAGGTCCTCCTTGACTAGAAGGCTGCCTAAGAAATCAATTTTTTTTCCAGAACTAGTGGACGATTTCTTTGTATGAAAAAAAGAATTGAAATGTAATAGCATATATCTATCGATTCAAGTTGTTGTATTCAGTCTCTTGCCTATAAAATCTCAGAGTTTATATACAAAGTTTCAAGGCATATGCTGCAACAGTTTGCATAAAGAACTGCACAGTTTCAAGGCTCATGCTTAAATTATTGCTATGTCTTCAGTAGGACAACTTGCAGTAAGCATAGCTAGCAGAGTTTCTTCCGCTGACCTATCTCGACATCCAATTCACTCGCCTCATATTTTTAGCCTATTTGTGTACAAGTTCACTAGTTTTCTTGATAGATAGCAGTTTTTATTTGATCTCTCGTTAATTCAAATGCTCCAGGGTATTTTGTAGAACGTACAGTGCCTGATTCAGAAGTGGAAGGGGCACCCAGCTTCTTGTGCACATTTGCAATTATCCTTTATTAAAAGACTGCTCCCAAATTTCAAAGAACAATCTTATAATTGTAAAAAGAGGAAGCCTATTTGTACAGTAAATATACAAAGCAACGATTGAAAATCACAAAGAATAAGGCATCAATTACTGCAACAGAGACAGACTTGTACAGAAACACTATGAATGAAAAGTGTAAATAATTCTGTATTGAAACTGCAACCATTCGCTGTCAGCTGATTTATTTTATCTAAATATGTTGATAAGTGTTAAATGTCCACTTTCCTATTTTCTGAATCGGTGTTCACAATTATTTAAATTATAGGCCACAGGAACTATTCAAGTTCCACTCTTTTGCTCTTTTCATGATTTATTGAGAAAAATAAGATCCAGTACAGTAAATATATTAATGATGCCCATCTGTCATCAGGCTGATGATTACATCACAGCAATTTCCTCATAAAGGCCTTTATGTTCTGTAAGAATCTGCCAAACAACTCTGGAAACTTTCTACTCTTAGACCAATTGTAAAAAAAATCTATTACAATATCCTTTTGAGACATGGGTTTTATTAAGCTTTTTAAAGAATGCACTCTTATTGGTTTCCCCCCCCCCCCCCCCNCCCCCCCCCCCCCCGCTTCTTGTCTCCCTGATTGCAACTGCAACTTTGAGACTCTTACGGTAATAAGCAAATAATTTTTCTTAAAGAAAACTGAAATAAATACATGCATACCCACGAATGTTCAGTATAATCAATACCTGAATACTTCTTTGCTGGCTCTAGCAATGATTCCTAATTCTGTCTCACCTTCCACCGAGAAACGGAAACTGTTTTCAAGCTGTGGGCCCAACATTGTGTATGTTTTCCCACTACCAGTCTGCCCATAAGCCATAATACACACATTGGACCTGAAAAGTAGATAGAAGATTCTTAAAGACCAACATTAAGTGATCAAAACTAAACCTTGGAAGGAAGCTTGCTAATTTGCACATCTTACTAATTTGCACAGAATTGTTCCAATAGTGGAATAATAACTGTAAAAACTCTCCACCTCTCACCTGCATGTCTCTTTTATCTATCCCCAGTTGAACATTTCTATGAATGAGGAAATAAATTTCTTTCTTCCTAGCAGAAAACAAGGAATGCTACAGAATAGAAAAGATAGAAGGACAGAAGCAAAATCAGATCATTGCTTTTAGGGTAATGCTTTTCCATTTCTTCCTTGGAGCGTATGTCCTGGTTCCAACAGCTGGAACAGAGGCAAGAGACTGGGTTCCATTGGCAAGTTGACTGCAATTTTCAACAAACAAGATTTTGTGTGTGTGCACTAAAATAAGGAGCACAATGGATGCATTCTTTCCATCCATTAATTTCTTCCTCCAAAGCCTAAAAGTCTAAGCCCTATTCACTGGTGACAATGGCCACATCATTTATGTCTTCTGGTGGACATTTTTTTATAAAATGGAAGTGAGGCTCCAGACCTCTTCTCCCCCCCCCCCCTCAAAAAAAGCCTCTAGTATTTGCTTTAAAGTATCACCGAAAACATTATTTTACTGACTTAATAAGAAAGAAATACAGTAAAGCCAGCAGGATTCATTCAGTGATACAAGATCCTGTTTCCTACTACATTGTGTAGCACAGAGCATGCACTTAAATCTAAATGCAATGCCTGCCTTAGCAACTTTTTTTTTACTCAAATCTGAAAGTACTCTTCTTGCTTTAATACCACTTGCCCTGCAAGCTTCAGGTAGCATAGAGACAGTATTTTCAGGAACCCAGCACTGCCCAGATAGTGCTCCAGATGAACAGGCTTTATAATGAAGTTAGATACCTGCCGGTAAGGTTTTTATAAAGCACAGAAATTCATGCTCTACTGGAGCAATAAATTCTCTAACATGTTACTGTGGTTTCCCAACCAGATCGACCCTTAGAGTAATATAACTCTCAAGAAGGTTATGATAAATCAATAGGTAAAACAGGATATAGTGCAGAGAAAAAGGAAAAATATGGCTATTTATATAAAAAGGTATCAGAATTAGAAAAAGGGGAAGGATTTAGCATAGGACAGTGGAGGCAAACCTATGGCACGGGTGCCAGAGGCGGCACTCAGAGCCCTCTCTGTGGGCATGCGTGCCGTCGCCCCAGTCTTAGGCTTTCAGCTGGGTTTTATAAAACCTTTTCGCTTTAGACCTCCGCCGCCGTGTGCAAAAAAAAAGGTTCAATCAATAAGTCAATTTCAACTTATCGCGGGGAAAAAAAGATCTTGCAAAGTTGGAATTGATTGATTGAACTTTTTAGTCCCACCCAGTCTGCCATTACCACTGCAGCCACGCCCACCCAATGGGCCACACCTACCCGGCACCCGACAATGCATAAGTGGGTTTGGGGTTGCAGTTTGGGCACTCGGTCTCTAAAAGGTTTGCCATCACTGGCATAGGACCTTCTATGACCTAAGTGCAGTACTTCTGAGATGTAAGAAAAGTCCTTACATATTTAATTAGAAGATGTCTAATTGTTCTATTTGGACCAGTAATTTATTTTTGTACTTATTTATGAGGTATTTGAAGTAGAATACAACCTTTAATCAAAAATATGGAATGAGCAATCACAATCCAATGCAAACAGATTCCAAATGGTAATAACTGTGAGGGGGAAAAAACACATTTCAAAGTAGGTACTGTATTTTGAAACAGAAGCTGGTTGCAGTTGAGGACAAAGCTTCTCCAATCAGTACATTAATTGCAATTAGTAGAAAATGTGGTTATTTGTACAGACAATCAACATTTGGGGAAGGACTCCTTCCACTGTGGTCTAGTGTCTCTTAAAAGGTCAAAGAAAACAGCAACCTTTTGATGCTCACTAGCGATTCACTAGAATTACTATGGGACTGATTCTTCCTGAGGTATTTAATTTACAGCATCCTTAATTAGCTGTTCTACAGTCTGGGAGAAAAGATTGTTGGCATACTTCTGTGGCAGACATATTATCATGTCTGTAGCTTCTCTCTCTCTCTCTCTCTCTTTCTTTGAAATAGTTCTGAACTTGTTTTTTGCTTTAAGTTTTACTTACCCATCCAGCAAAGAGGTTAGCAAAGGAGAAATATCTGCAAATACTGTCACTTGTGAATCAGAAGTGTTATAAACTCTGACAAAAATAAAACAAGATTCAGTCAACCAATGATCACAGTGAGTAAGGACTAAGAACAAGAATAAAATTACTCAATGCAATCGTTATGTTAGTTTAACAATGCCGATTTTCTTCAGAAGCCCCTGAGTAAGGAAGAATTATGCCCATCCCGACATCAGGAAATTAAAATAGAAGAACAGTAGAGCCACAATTATATTCCAACAATCAGATGTTAGTCATTTAAAATGTTCTGAGGAGTGCCAAGGCCGTAGGCCCTTGTCAACTACAACCTATTTCTAGAGACACAGTTTATGTTTTATTGAGCAAAATGTTCATAGAAATGCCAAAGGAAAAGGAAAAAACGAGAGCCTTTGAATTCCATGCAGCTTTCCTTCAAGACTAAAAGGATCAAAGCACAAACAAGAAAAATAAATAATGAATACAAAATGTCAAGTTATCTCTAACTGTAAAAAGCGAGAGAGAAAGAGAGAAGAGAAAAAGAATATTAACAGTGCGTAGATATGTAACTGAAGAGATAACTATGGCCTTAGGTGGGGATACCTGTGACCATGTCCATAAAGAGGTTAAAAATAGATACAGTATGTAGAGAGATGGCCTGTCAAGTAGCTTGGCCTTGAGCACCATAGGGCATCACAAATTAAAACAAATACTTTTGACAAGGACCAAGAACACATATAGAAGCCAACGTGACGGGACAGTGGGGAATAATATAACCAAAGCCCCGAGTCCAATAATTAGAACTGCCAGCATGATTTTACGGCAACTGTAGCATCACACATTGTAAGGATAGTTGTCAAAGCTAGATAACTTTGACCAAGCTTTCTCCATCAAATAAGCCTAAAGGTGGTGCATCCGCTGAAGCTGCTAAAATGTTTGAGCAAGAAGGTCATTTTAACCTTTAAAGAAACTATAATAATAATAATAATCTTTACTCAAACTGCAAATGTTCTTTTAAAAAAAGGAAAACAATTTCTATTATTCCAAGGTATGCAGAGCATACTGAGGGTCACCCACCCACCCTCCATAAGAGTTACATTTTTTTTTCAAATATAGTAGCATTTTAATTCTTTTTTATTTTTTAATTTCATTGTTTTTATGTAGGTTTTGGCAATCCCTCCCCCATCCAAATAAACCTTTTCAGTCTTTTGGTTTTAGTAAAAAAAAAAGTGAAAGATAAAAGTCAACAGAACAGTTGTGACCAAAAGTCCTGGTGTTTCATTGGGAGGACACTTTAAAGGGCAAACATATTTTAAACAGAGGGCAAAGAAAAAGACTTTTGAGCAGATGGAGTTTTGAGTGATTGGAGAGTTCACTTGATAACTTAGTTGGCTAGCCTTCCCTTTTGTTTTTTTTTTAAATTACTGTTACATTTGTTCAAATCTAAGATTATCCCATTTCATTAACCCTGAAGTATTTAGAACTTTATTAATTCATGCATGATGAAATTCAAATAATAAAAATGGGGGATCCCTATTTTGTTCCCTAAAATACTACAACTAAGGGAGGGGAAGGGGAAAATTGGTGTCCTAATTCTCTGTAAGGCTAATGAGTGCAATGCGTGTCTCAATATGATATGAGTCCTAAAGTATTCATTCTTCCTCTTTAAAGACTTCCTTTAAGGAAGAAAAAAAACCACCTTCAAGTCTGGCCATTTCCAATATCACTGGAGCATACAGTGAGTAGCTCAGAGGCTTTGCTTCAGGCCACCCTGCTTTAGTTTATATGTAACCAATAATTATACCTTAATTTCATTTATTGAAGTGGTTTCCTCTGGTTGAGCTTCTAGCTAATAGGGCACTGAATATTTAGCCAGAAATATGTGGAAGCCAGTAACCCTTTCCAGCTTTTAATTCAAACATAAATAGCACCTTATTAGATCACAGGGGACAGATTAAGATATGAACCAGCATGTCATTTAACAGTACAATAAAGTGGATAGTAGGAAGTAAGATAACAGCCAGAATACAGAACAACATAAGATCTCAATCACCCTTTCTCAGTTCAGACTTGCTAAGCCATTTCTTTAATTACATGGTTGCCAGCTACCCTAATACCTGGCATAGTGTTATATCATGCTTATTTTTTTTTTTAAAAAAAACACCTTATACTTGATTATTACATTATTGTACAAATATTTGGAATTTTGGATGAAAAACAAAAAACAACATTGTAGAAAACATCCTAAAATTCCTAATAGCAAGGGACGTCTGTCTGTGCACTATTTAACAATGTGAATTTTCCTTTATAAAACTATTCTACTTTGTGAAATATCTTCAGGTCCACCATAAAGTAATAGAAGATATTTGCATGGAACAAGCATCATAACTTAACCTTGTGTTCATAAGCATTTAAAATTTACTTTACTAAAATGGAAATGTTAATGAAAACTCAGCCATGCCAAGGAACTGTTAGTTTAAAAAAAAGAGGCTTATCATCCATTTCCTCACCTATGTATTCCTGCCATATGCTTTTTAACACTGTAGTAGTTTCACTGTAAAATTTAAAAGCATCATTTGTTAAAAGAAGATTGTGATGTAAAGCCATCTTCATGGCATGGGTCTGGGCTATTTGAAGGACTGTCTCATCCCACTGGGATTGGCCTGCCCCACCTATGCCATCAAAGGAGGCAAGTTGTGGGCTCCATTGGCCAAGGTATTCCAGATGGCGGGGTTTAGGAGAAGGGCCTTCTCTGTTGTTGCACCTGTGCTTTGGAATATCTTACCCTCCAGAGTGATGTCGGCTCCAACCCTCCTGATCTTCCGTAAGAGCTTGAAGACCTGCTCTGCCAGTTGGCTTGGGGTTCCAACACAGGGGTGTCACATTGGTTGATAGATTAACAACAGATCCCACTCCTTCCCTTTCTCTTCATACTCTCTCCCTCCCCATCGTTTTGGCCAGGTGGATTTTTATAGTATTGCATTCATTAGATTCGTACTTCCTTCAATGATGCACTAAAAATACACTTGTAAAATTCACCAGAATCTTATGCTGAACTTTTACAGTGCAGGACATTAACAAATTAAATGCATTCTTGAGGAAACCTTACTTTAAACCTCCTTTTTGGAGGGAAAGATTTGTGCGTGTACGAAATATACACTGACCCATATCTTAGAATGACATTGCTTATAGATTTCTATTTTACGATTTAGATTGTTATTTCATTATGACATCGAATTCTTGAATATCAGTTAGGTTTTATGTGAAACATCACAGTGTGCTCTGCTAAAAACAGTTTGGGGTATAGAAATTCTTTCTATAGATTCTCTTCAAAACAAGTAATGTAGAACAGGTAACTCAATAAAATTTATTAGGCCATAAATTATTTTTAAAAGGTGAAAAACTGTAAAAAAAATAGTAATTGCGGTGTCCATGACCAAAAATGTATTTTAAATGAATCCAAATTTCTAGGCCAACTGTATGAAATTGCTACAAGCTTTAGACTTTGAAGAACTTTTGGTCAGGGAAGTTGATAACGGAGGAACAAAAAGAATCATCGGTGGTTGAAATCCATATACAGGTAGTCCTTGATTTACAACCATAATTGACCCCAAAATTTATGCTGCTAAGTGAGACAGTTGTTAAGTGAATTTTGCCCCATTTTACAACCTTTCTTGCCACAGTTGTCACGTGAATCACTACAGTTGTTTAGTCATACAGTTGTTAACTGACTCTGGTTTCCCTATTGACTTTGCTTGTCAGAAGATCTCAAAAGGTAATCACATGACTCTGGCACACTGCAGCCATTATAAACGAGTCAGTTGCCAAGCATCTGAATTTTGATCACGTGACTGTGGGGATGGGGGGAAAACCGGTTGTAAGTCATTCTTTTCAGTGCTGTTGTAACTTTGAACGGTCACTAAATGAACTGTTGTAAGTCAAGGACTACCTGTACTTGTTTTGCTTTCCACGTGGCTCTAGAAATCTGTTTATGTGAATACTATTCTCTATGTAGTTGTATTTGTTGTAACATTTCATCACAGGGACATACTACTGTACTGTGTAGAAGAACAGTTCACCTGCTGCAGACTGTTTGTGAAGGGGGAATGTCACTTTATCAGCAGCTTAATTTTAGAGATGACACAATTATGTATTTAAAAAAATCTAACCCGATATTCTACAGCAGGGGTTCCCAACCAGGGGTGTGCGCATCCCCTGGGGATGCGAGACAATATTCCAGGGGGTGCAAAAACTTGGGTTTTCAAAATTATAGTGTATATCCATAATTCGCTGCCGTTATTTCAAACTTTTGTAAAGGGTGTGAGAATGTATCAGAAGCATTCTAGGGGTGCAGGGTATAGAAAAGTTTGGGAGCCACTGTTCTACAGCATTCAAAGAAATGTGAATAAAGCCATCTGCTTTTTTCCATTTAGAGGGAGCTTGGAATTCCTATTTGTTCCAAATTTAAAGCCTGGATGATTAAAGGGGAAGCCCCCAAAGGAATCTTGGGATACTAACAGACTGTTGTAAGTTCTCGCTGCAAATCCTATTTTCTTTAAAAGAAACAGCACACACCAAAATTGCTCTTGAGACCACCCACCTTTCAAACTGGTATGTCTTGTTTATCAAAGCGTGACCAGGACGGCTGCATTTTACTAAGATGGTTTCCTAGCCAAAAGGAAAAGAAGGGTGGAAACAATTAGAATGTGTATCATTAAGATCTAAATGGGAAAAAAAAAGTATGTTTAAAGGTTTGCCACAAAGTCAGAATGTTAAGAACTTCCAAATGGTGGAAGCCACATTGCCATTTCCTGTCTTCGAAACATAGATTGGTAGGGTTGCAGCAAGGAGAGATGGGGAGGTGGGTACTGGGTGCTGCAGTTGGAGCTGCCACACGCAGTTGTGTGAGGTTGACCTTCACCCTTCTCTGTCTTTCTACCACAATTATACATTTAACTTAGAGGGATGGAAGACTGTATGGTACATCTGTGCTCCATAGAAGGTTAGGACTCAGGCCTGGGAAGATAAGCTCCATGCTGGCTCCAGCCTGCCTCCTTATTCAGCTCTCAGCTCTTGGAGACCAGGAAAGTCTCTTATCTTTGAGGGAGTCCGCAGCAGAGAAGTGCATTTGGTTAGGTCTCCAAAACTATCATGTTGAAGGCTTTTTCAACATTTTTTTTTAAAAAAAATTAACAAACAGGAAACAACCTGAGAAAACGTTGCCAGATTGGTCAATGAGCCAAACCGGAGGATGGAAAAGATTCTCGTTTTGAAGGGCAAAACATAAATAATGAAAATATTACTGTATTTATTAATTCAATTTATATAGCCACCCACCTCAATTTCACGACTCTGCCGCTTACTTGCAGCTTACAAGTAAAAAGTATGCAAAACCAAGAAACAATATTTTTTTAAAAAAAAATCATACCACTAGAACAGGGGTAGGCAACCTTGGCTCTTTTATGACTCGTGGACTTCAACTCCCAGAATTCCTGAGCCAGCATGGCTGGCTCAGGAATTCTGGGAGTTGAAGTCCACGAGTCATAAAAGAGCCAAGGTTGCCTACCCCTGCACTAGAATCAGCAGCTGAGGTACAAAATCCATCAATAGCAA